CACATAAAAAGTGCAAAAATTAAACAAAAATGACGATTTTTCAAATCAATATTATGGGATTTAAACTTGCACCATTTAATGCGGTAAACAGTCGCCTAACCTTACCGCTAAATTCCCCGTTGACATATTGTTAAACAGCTGTTCCCTTGCAATTTATAATATTACTGCCCCGTTCCTTTATAAAAATAGCGTGATTATTATGTTCCCAGAGTTAAATTTTTATTTTTATTTTAACTGATAACATGTCATTTTGTACATTCAATTATTTTGTGCGTTCAATTAGGAAGAAAAACCCTTTAAAATCAATACTGCTTACCTCCTATAACATACGGCGTGATAATATGTAACCTAAAGCCTTCCTTGGTTTTATAAAGAACATTTTTCCTGAATTTCAATTCAATCTATCCAGTAGTTTTGGCGTTAAGCCGTACCATACATACGAGTACAGACAAACAGACAAACAGACAAAAATTCTAAAAAGTCACTTTTTGTCTTCAGTTACGTTTTGCTAACAAAAGCCACTTATTTTTTTCTCGAAAATACTTAATGTACAGTTTTTCTTTCGTTACTATTTTATTATATGTATAGATGATGTTCTCATTTTATTTATATTGAAGTCGGTTCTACAAAATTTTAATTTTACCACTTGTGTAATTTCGACGTTTCAAGTACTTGATACTTAAAACTTTTAACTTTTAATTAAAAAAGCACCCAGTTCACGGGGTCACTGATGTGTTTGGCGTCCCAATGTCACAGTTAACCACAGCAACTTTCTGTTTAAAATTATTGGTTTTTGGTTCCGGACCGAGTAGGTCGGCGTAAATCGAAAAATTACAGTTGTATTCTTGGATTGGGATTTTAATTTATTGATTACTGAATGCCTAGTAGATGAAAGACACTCAGCTATGTTCTGTATTGAAATTAGGATGTTTCTTGAGATAGGTTAATAAACGCGATTAAATCCGTAAAACTGATTTTACTCAAATGTGTTTGGGGTTTGCGTTAAAATAAGAAGTGTGGCTCTACCATGTAAAATTATGACGAATAAGAATATATTGCTGTTGTGATTTAGGTCAACCGTGCAGTGGCGGTGTAAGTTTATAAACATGACTCTAAGAAAAATACGACTTTAAAGCTTAATATTTTGCCAAATGAACCCCTGAATCTAAAAGATGATCTTCGGGTTACAGAAATAAAACTCATTCTCCATTTACCTGTATAGGAAGTACCCAAAATAAAAATGTTTTAAGATGTAGGCGTGACTAATACGAGTATTTATAACTACGCCAAATTGCAGATTTGTAAAGTAAAACTACGGAAGGACTGACGGATGGACGGACGGACGAACGGACATGGCAAAACTATAAGCGTTCGTTGCTGTGTAACTACGAAACCCAAAAGAACTGCGGTTGTTCACCCGTCTGTCAAACGAGGAAACTATGGTTAAATCCTCATCCATGAGGCAAATTATGAGGCATATTTTCAGCGGTGGACTTTTATAGACTCTAATAGATGAAATAATGTATATTACTTATGCATTATGTAGCTTATAAATTAGTCTGACAAATTGTGAATATGTAATTTAAAAGAATAAACGAGTTTTTGCAAGTTATTCATATAGTCGAAATTCACGACGTTTGAGTACTTCATTCCGACTTTTGTCAAGGAACTACAATTTCTGTTTTAGTTTTGGTGAGAAATGTTATTTAGTTAATATCAAATTAACACCATATTTCTATAAAGAAATTTCAAATACAATATTTATTACCACAAAAAAAATTAAACTGAAAACTTATATACATACGTCCTTCCTACCGTGGGAAGAACCGTGCGAAGAACGCTGGCTGCATTTCTTCGCCTAATGGCATTATATATATATATATATATATATATATATATATATATATATATATATATATATATATATATATATGCCGTTTTTGCCGTTGCTCATGTGGGGTATAAGCATAAGGTACTACTTTATTACTACATTATTATTACTACAGGCCGTTTATGCTGGTTTGTAATCACATTAAGGCGTTTTATGTAATCTGTTGTGATAATATTTGTTTGTCTGGATAGAATTCATATATTTTCGTTATTGTAATTATTATTTGTGGTATCTATATAGTTTTCTCATCTGGTTGGGTTGTATAAATATATAATTATAAACGAAAATGAAATGAAAAACACAGGTACATAAATATCAATTAATGAAAATAAATAAAAAATACATAAATAAATAACAGATGAGTCCAACCATCTGGTCACATGTCGGTCACCTCATGAGCAAGGTCCAGATATTTTGTTTGCCTATCTGTTTTGGCTTTCACGAGGTTCTCGTCATACGAAATGGTAATATCGACCAAAAATATCTCTGACTGTGCCCAGTCCATCAACCCCAAGCCATCAGCTCTCAGCATCCATTTTGAGCGCGTAATATCACTTGATTTAGCTCCATGTGACGGTGAAGTCAGTGTCTAATATATGGTGGTAAACACATAACGGACAGTATTTTCTCGGGTCGGTGGTATCCTGATCTTTAGGAACCAATTGAGTGATCCCAGTAGTTAAGAGTCTCGGAAGCGACTTCTGATCGAGAGCCTATTGAAACTGTCGGGCGAGCACAGCGTGACACACTACGAACCCCTTCAGTCAGTAATGATGCAGCCCGTAGAGCCCCTGACTTTTCCAGTTCAGGACCCTACGGTCCTCCTCAGCCACTTACTATTATTTTTGGGGTATCTATATAATTTTTTCATCTGGTTGGGTTCTATAAATATATAATTTAAAGTTAAAATGAAAAGACAAATATACATAAATATCAATAAAATAAAATAAATACATAAATAAATAAGATCCAACCAGATGGAAGCCCTCGGCAGGGGAGACTAAACAGCCGAGGGTTAGGAGAAAAGGGAAAGAAACCGGTGGACGATGCGGGCGGTATCGAGGAGAACCGCCTTCGGCATTTGAGCTCGGAGCGGTCCGTCAAGGAGTCCCAGTCGCCTCAGATGACCCGAGAGGCTGACTGGGATTAGCCCATTCGCAGAGACGACTACAGGAATAATTTCTGCCGACAGACCACCCCACATGTCGTTTACCTCGTGAGCCAGGTCCAGATATTTTGTTCGTTTATCTGTTTCGGCTTTCAGGAGGTTCTCGTCATACGGAATGGTTATGTCGATCAAAAATATCCTTGACTGTGCCCAGTTCATCAGCACAATACAAGGCTTATTCGCAAGAATAGTCCTGTTTGTGATGATGATCCGGTCCCAGTAGAGCCTGGCGCGGTCATTTTCGAGCCCGGCTTCCGGCAAGTACATGTAATACGGCAATTTCCAGTCTACGAGACCGTATTTCTGAGCGAGCTCCTGGTGCAGAAATCTGGCTAATAGGTTGTGCCTGTGGAAGTACTCAGAGTTAGAAAGCGCTGAACAACTGGAGATGACATGCCTAAGTGACTCACCGGGATTTCGACAAGCTCGACAGACATCGACGGTGCAATCCTTTAGGATGTATCTCCGATAGTTGTTGGTCTCAATAACCTGATCCTGTATTGCACAGACAAAACCCTCGGTTTCCCCCGAAAAGGTCACCGAAACGTAGCCAGTTTAGAAGGCGACTGTATCTACGAAGGGATATTGTAGAGCCCTATAGTACCTCCCGTGGAGCTCCTTCTCCTTCCATTAGGTTTCCCGGTCGGAAATGCTTTGTACTGCCGAGTTCTGCATTTGCTCGTTGGCTAAAGATAGAGGAGTAAGCCCTTTATCACTAGAAATTACGTCATTATAGAATGGATCATCCGATCTCGCCAGGAAGTAATGACGGAGGCTGGACACTTCGTGATTATGCATGGTGAGCACGCTCAGGAAGCCACTCCCACCATGATTTCGCGGCAAGTACAGCCTCATTACCGACGATCTTGGATGATGCATCCTATGGGACGTCATGGTAGTGCGGACTTTTCTATCCAGGGCGTTAAGTTCAATCTGAGTCCACCTGAGTATGCCAAAGGTATACATGAGGACAGGCATGACTCAGCCATTATATACGTGTGCATTATTTACACCGGACAAAAGGCTGTTAAGCACTTTGGTCAGCGTGCATAAAACATGTCACAAACTGACTGTTTCATACCAGCCACATCGATACCGGTGTTCTGTGACACACCCAGGTATCGGTATGTTTCAGCCCTCAGAGTTAGCAACCCTTCCCCTTTCAACATGGAGGACCGCACACTTATCCGTCCCCAGCTCCATTCCAATAGAATTGCTAAATTTACAAGTGATGTTTAGCAATTCCACAAGATGGGAGCGACTGGAGGCAAATAATTTGTGGTCATCCATATAGAAAAGGTACCTCCTTTCCGAAGCTGAAATCCCCTCCCGGAGCCCTCCAGTAAAGTACTGAGAGGGTTCAAAGAGAGGCAGAACCAGATTGGACTCAGATAGTCGCCCTGGAATATACCCCTTCTTATCCTTATGCGGCTTTCCGCAGCCGTCATCCGCTCGCCTAGATGACAGAGGATCATATTCCATTGCCCCATACACTGCCCGAGGACGTCTCGAACTGTATAGTCAATCTTGTACAGCTCGAGGACCCTCTTTAACTATGTGGGGCACCGAGTCAAATGCCTTTCTGTAGTCTATCCAGGCGGCGGAGAAATTCTGACGGTTGCGTTTCACCACTTTGCCAATGACCGCGTCAATGAGGAGTGGTTTCTTGGTTCCACGACGACCGCCCCGACAATTTTGAGCGCGCGACATCACCTGATTTGAGTCCAGATGACGAGTGATTCTCGCGCTCAAAATGGATGTTGGATGTCATATATATGATCGGTAGACACGTGATGGGGCGGTATTTGCTCGAGTCTGTGGCACCCTGATCTTTAGGAACAAAATGAGTGATCCCAGTAGTGAAGAGGCTTGGGAGCGACTTCTGGTTGAGAGCTCCTTGAAACAGTCGAGCGAGCACAGCATGACACACCATGAACCCCTTCAACTAGTAGTGATGCAGCCCGTCAAGTCCCGGATTTTCCAGTTAGGGGCCCTACGGACCGCCTCAGCTACGTCATCCAGCGTTATAATGACAGGGTCCATGGACGTAATACCCGCACACTGACTCGCCACGACTTCCGTCCAAGGGCCCTCGTTGTGGTTTACGGGCTCTGACCACAGGCTGTGCCAGAATGCGACCGTGTCGGCCTGATTCGGTACTGGGCCCGTTCCACTTACCATTGGTCGCTCCAATGATTTATAAAGCCTCTTCTGATCACTCTGGAAGAGACGATTCTGGTTGAACCGTGTCAACCTCTCGGTATATCGCCGAATCCGCTTTCCCCAAGCAGCGATTCTCTGCTTCAGGTCGTCTATGCGCTCCGTCAGTTTTTGCATTATATCCGACTGGGACAAACTAACATTTGTCCCAGCAAACGCCATCCTGACGGTGCACACAATCCTTGGCCTGGTATTGCCTGACCTGAAGTATATCAGTCTGCCGATGAGGGCCCTAACTTTTGCGATACGTTCTTCAATTCTTATTCTCCAGGCTGAGATAGCACTACTTTGTCCAGTAGCGCGTCCAGCCGTGGAGATTTTGGCGCCTATAATACGGCAGACTGCCAGTGCGGCGCCAAAAAGAATTGAGTCCGTCTCCGTCCGTATTCATTTTGATTGTCCATCACATTCGGTGTACTCCACCAGTGGCAGGTGCCGATTGCTGGGCCCGCGAAGACCCTGCCGACACCAACCAGATGGTGGGGATGATGGAGGCGAGGGGCTGATGGGTGGTCGTGTAGCAACTCTCGCTCGGCTAGCTTCGCATGCTGTCGCGTCCAGCGCCAGCTCCAGACGCACCCTAGCGACCTCCAGGCAGCGGCCCTATGCGCGTTCTTTCGTATTCCATCACCCTTATTATTATTATTATTTTATTATTATTATAATTATAGTGTGGGGTATCTATATAATTTTCTCATCTGATTGGGTTCTATAAATATATAATTTTAAGTTAAAATGAAAAGATAAATATACATAAACATCAATAAAATAAAATAAATACAAAAATAAATAAATAAAAGCCCAACCAGATGAAAGCCCTCGGCAGGGGAGACCAAACGGCCGAGGGTTAGGAGGAAAGGGAAAGAAACCGGTTAACGATACGGGCGGTATTGAGGAGCACCGCCTTCTGCATTTGAGCACGGAGCGGTCCGTCACGAAGTCTCAGTCGCCTCAAATGACCCGAGAGACTAACTGGTATTAGCCCATTCGCAGAGATGACTACAGGAATAATTTCGGCCGGCATACCACCCCACATGTCGGTCACCTCGTGAGCCATGTCCAGATATTTTGTTCGCTTATCTGTTTCGGCTTTCACGAGGTTCTCGTCATACGGAATGGTAATGTCGACCAAAAATATCCTTGACTGTTCCCGGTCCATCAGCACAATATCAGGCTTATTCGCAAGAATATTCCTGTCTGTAATGATGGCCCGGTCCGTCTCACAAAGGTCCCGGCTGGCTTCCAAATAGGTCACCAGCATTGGGTTCAGAGCCCTTACGCCAGCCTGATTCCGCTTGCTTCGCGGTCGATTTTCTAGAGGCGTACTGCGCGTTTCCACAATCGCCTCTTCCAATGTACTCCTCATTTGCTCTAGTTCGAGTTCCTGGGCAAGTGTTCCATCATCGTTTGAATCAATCACAACTGGGGTATTCACGGCGGCATCCACGTTTTCCGTTTGCTCTGCAAATTGTGGCGCCGAATCCTCAGCCGTAGCATTTTCACCCGATGAAGGAACAGCCTCACGTCGTAGCCGTTCGAGTTCGGCGACATCAAATATATTTGAGCGCAAGATATACCGAACTCGGTCTACCAGGTTTTGCTCTGTGGCAGTTATAGATGGCTCCAGCTCAGCAAAAAGACGATGCATCCTAGTCCGATATGCAAACCTCCAACTTCTCCCCCTTATGCCCTAAAATACGCCCGCAGTGCGTTGGTATTCATATTGATTGTCCATCGCATGCGGCGTACTCCACCAGTGGCGGGTGCTGATTGCTGGGCCCGCGAAGACCCTGCCGACACCAAGTCAGCTGGTTGGGATGATGGATGCGAGGGTCTGATGGGTGGTCGTGCAGCGCCTCTCGCTCGCCTGGCGGTTCGCATGCTGTCGCGTCCAGCGCCAGCTCCATACGCGCCCTGGCGACCTCCAAGCAGCGGCCCTTTGCGCGTATTTTCGTATTCCATCATCCATATAAATGGGCGCCATTTAAAGGGAGACGCCCAGACCCGGCGCCGTTTCATGGTGGGGCCATGTGCACAAGCGGGCCTTTGCACCTTCAATTTTTGCCGAGGCACGGCACTTACACCTCTTGGCAAAGTGCTGACTGACTGCGCTGACGTAGCGGTTTTGTCAATGGGGTCGTCACTTTTATACGCCTAATTATTATTATTATTTATTAATATAAAAATTCACACAGTTACAGTTTAACAGTCTGCGAAACTGATCAGTAGTTTATTGGCAGAAAAAAATGCTCTCTTAGTTCCGAACATGCAAAAAAAAATAAAAAAAAAACATAGCTTAATACAATTACACTACCACTAATATAACTAATGAATAGTATTAATATAACTTTATTCAGTAATTTAAAGAACAACAACATTTTTCAAATATGAATAAATATTGCATGTATGCTTACACATATACATACATACATGCATACATACATACACATGCATACATAATTATTACAGCTTACCTATAATGTTGTTCAATAGATCATCACGATACATTCAATTTTTACTTTTTGAGTAGAATTTTTGAAACTTATTTTTAAACCGTTTTTTTATTTATGCGTAAGGCATTCTTGCGGTAAATTGTTATAAATTTTTGTTATTTAATGTTGGAACGTTCTTTTACCATAATAATTAGCACATTTATATTTTAATGTTATTACTTTTTGTGGCCTGCGCGTATTCTTATTTATGGGGATAAAATTACGCAATATGTCACTTAAGATTTTAAAGTACTTATCATATGTCGCAAATGATATTTGAAATTGCTTATGTGTCGGTATTAAATTACACTCCTGGAAGAGCTTCTCATAATTATCCCTAAATTTAATTTTAGATTTTGGGTTTGCCAACATTTTCATAAATCTAATTTGAAATTGCTTTAATTTGTTTAAATATGTTTTAAATGTCCCTCCATATGCTACTAATCCATATTGTAATGTTGACTCAACTAATGCGTAATATACAATATACTAAACGGTTTTATTAATTTACTTAAAATGTCTCTTAATTTATTACACACCTGTTCTATATGGCTACCCCAGTGCATATTTCTATCTATTGTTAAGCCCAAGTATTTAATTTTGTTTTATAAATTTTATAACTCTACATTCAAATTTCAACATATTGTTTGGTATAAATTGATAAGAGTGACCCACTATCCTATATTTTTTTTCATTTTTAATATTATTTTTTATTTAGTTTTTGCTGTGTTAGTAATAATTCCGTTGTCATGAGACCACTTAGTCATGTTGTTGAAATCACTTTGTATTTTTTTTTTCTATTTTATCTTGATTTTTTTTCAGCTTAAAATATGGATATATAATCCGCATACGTAAGACAGCACAGTGTTCAATTACGTTACATACGAGGTCTGTTCAAAAAGTATCGCGAATTTTAAATTTCCGCGGGCTACGTATATTTTTTATTTGATTTTTGATTTTTTGTAGCTTTATGTTGGTACTCATATCGCTTACTTATGCCAATAAGGTCGGCCAGTTTTAACTTTAGTTAATTTTTAACAGCTGTTTTTCTCGGATGTGTTTTGGCTCGTCTTTGATTTTTGCCTATTCCAAAAAATAGATCAAAAAATCTGTATTAAATTTTGTGTGAAAAACAAAATAAAGTACGCGGACACATTCTTAATGTTAACTGTGGCATATAGTGAAGCTACCTTGGACCAAAGTAACGTTTATCGGTGGTACAAAATATTCTCAGAGGGCCGAGAAAATGTGAATGACAAACAGCGTGCCGGACGCCCGAGCACGTCAACAACAGACGATAACATTGATAAAGTGAAGAAAATATTATTGGCTAATCGTCGAATCACCGCTAGCGAAGTTGCTGAGAACCTAAGTACATCAATTGGCTCGGGCCATTCAATTGTAAGTAATGATTTGGGCATGAATAGGGTCGCCGTGAAATTCGTGCCAAAATTGCTCAATTTCGACTAAAAACGGCATCGCGTTAACATTGCTCAGGAGATGTTGGACTCGATCCATGACTACCCATATGTGCTCTAGAGAATCATAACTGGTGACGAATCATGAGTTTATGGTTATAACATGGAAACCAAAGCTCAATCATCCCAATGGAAGCTGCCGCATGAGCCAAGACCGAAGAAAGCGCGCCAAATTCTGTCGAACGTGAAGGTTTTGCTCACAGTTTTCTTCGATTGCAGGGGCGTGGTGCATCATGAGTTCTTGACACAGGGTAGTACGGTCAATAAGGAATACTACCTGTAAGTTATGCGCAATTTGCGCAAAGCAATCCGCCAGAAACCCCCTGATTCGTGCAAGAGCAAAAACTGGCTTTTGCACCATGATAACGCTCCCTGCTCACACATCGTTGCTTGTGCGCGAATATTTATCCAAAAACAACACAGTAATGGTGGGACCGTATTCCCCAGACCTGCTCCCCTGTGACTTTTCCCTGTTCCCAAAACTGAAGAGGCCAATGAAAGGACGACGCTACGCCACGATTGAGGAGATAAAGACGACATCGAAGGAGGAGCTGAAGAAGATCACGAAAAATGATTTTTAAGCGTTTCGAGGATTGGAAAAAACGTTGGCACAAGTGCTTTACATACGACGGGATTACTTTGAAGGAGACAAAATAGATATTCATGAATAAATAAATACTTTTTAAAAAAATACAAAATTCGCGATTCTTTTTGAACAGACTGTGTATAGTTAACATGCATTAAATAGCCTACTGGTCCATATACGAATCCAGTAAGTACACCTGACTTTACATTATCCTCTTTTCCAGTTATATTTTAAACGATTTTCACTATTTTCCTATTATGTAAATAATTACTTAGTCACCTGATAATAGCATCGCGTATACCACGCTCATCCATTGCTTTTAACAAGAGATTATGAGATTATGAATCTAAATACATATTAACGATCGGCTCGACTCATAACGTCACGCAATCTTTACTACAGCTGTGAATAAGCTAAAAATCATACAAGTTGTTTAATGATGACCCTTTCATGAACGTCCGCTGTTTTTTACGGTGGTTAACACCATCACCACTTTAAATACTTAGACTACTTGTTGTTAAAAATGGTGTGCTACGGTCCCTATATGATGAAATATTTTGCTCAAATGGTAACTGATGTAAGGAAAAATGAATTTTTGTTTACACAGCAAAACAGGCGCAACACGAAACTGAATAAATTTAAATATTGTGCAGTAGTTTATTCAAATACAAAATAACACGGAGTATTACGTTTGCAAATCTAAGAATTATGTGTTCACAAAAATATTACCATTTCGCATCAAAAATTTTAAAACAGAGACTTATATTTTGTTTTGATTTTATTTAAATACAAAATATAGTAACTTGCAGTATTTTAATCTTGAACGATTCGGTATGTTGACTCGCGTAACATATTTGATGATTACAATCTTTTTTTAACAATCTAGCTCTCCAATCAAAATCCGCGATTAGTCGTGTTGCGATTTTAATACCATTTACGGCAATTGGCGCAAGTTATTCAATTTAAGAATGAGCTTTTTTCAAAAAAATTGATTTCAAGGAAAATTTTCAAATTACATATATTGAAAAAAAAATTTCGATATTTATTTCGATAACGATATCTCTCGAACTAATCAATTGCTTTTGATGCAGTATTCAGTGCGATCAACGTCGTTTTTTTTTAAGTTAAAAAACTGATTAGATTATAGAATTGATGAAATGAAACAAGGATGTCGAAACAATTCCAAGAAAACTACTTTTGAAAATTAAAAATGCTCGAATTTTTGAGGTTTTCTCAGAATTAACCATGAGAATTCGGTATAAATTCACTGAAAATCTAAGTAAAGCGAACCTTGTTTTTCGATGTCGCAAACCACTTTTCGATCGGACTCAAATGCCAGTTTCTTCATAAACCTACAATATGGCTTAAATACTCTATAATTGTGTTTAGTATAGATATATTCTATGGAATTATATGGTGGCCATAAGATAATCCATCAAACGATTTCACCTCTTGAGATTCATAAGAGGTGACTCAGGGAAATATTAGTATGATCTTATGGTTTCCTACCTATTATATAACCACATTTACACGCCAGGCGTAGAATACCCGGATCAGCGATGGGGTCAATCAATTCCGCTGGCAACGCTTCGATTGACGCGTAATGTCACGAGGCATCGGAGAACATTTAGCGCACGGGTTCTACAATTATAACGTTGTAATATCTTTTAATAGTCCAAACTAAATGTGGCAAGAGATGAGATCGTGCCTTATCAATAGATGATAATCCTTACAAGCGTCCAACCCGCGCGAATGTCGTACCCTTGTACGTCCGGATACACGCAGCCGTGATTCGGCTGCTCCCGCGCTCGCACGTTGTAAGATCAAGACCTTCATAGCTACTTAAGTGTAATAGATAGATACAAAAACTACGAAAAATTTACAGAAAAATACAAATTGAACCTGTGTATGTTTTAACATCTAAAAATTAATTTAAGATATTAAAAATAAGTGTGAACATTGAATTTGGAGAAAAATAAACGTATAAATTTTACTAATTTACACCTCAACGAAGAAAAAAAATATTTTTTACCAATAAAACAAAGTCAAAACAAACTAAACATATATTACTTTTTTGTGATGCATAGATTTT